GCCCCGCTGAATTGAGTACGGAAGTGTTCAGTCCAGCGGTCCATACGCCTGTGTAAGTTGCTTATCGGAGTTCCGTCAACCTCACAAATGACCTCACTGACACCAGGTCTTTTGTGATTAGTGGCTCGAATGACCTGGAAGAGTTTGCGGAAGTTTCCAGAGTGGGCTGCCGTTTCCATCTCTGAGGCGCGCTGGGACCACCAAGTTTCGCGATCCGCACGCAGGCTTTGCTTAAATTGTTGGCTGTGAATGCGACGCAATGCAGTGCTATTTGAATCGGCCAGGATAGCTCTACGACGATCAAACAATTCCAGCGAGTGTGCGGAAATCCAACCCCTCAGTGGGTGGCTTGTGGTTCCATATATTGAATGACTGGAAGTTAGCATCGCTTCACGCAGAAAACTCCAATGATTTTCAATGTCTCGAGGTGGAGCCCCAATGAATGCACACGATAAGGAAGCTTGATAAGTGAATCGAGTAGAGAGGTCAGCTAACTTGTTGGCGTCGAGCGTGTGGAGCTTTCGTTTTGAGGAGCCGCCGAAGCGCATGCGGATGTCCACGCAGACCAAAGCATGATCTGAATCGAGGTACATAGACCAAATCGATCTACACCCCTGGACGTTGCCTCGCCATCTAAAGCTGATTACAATGTGATCTATTTGCGACCACGCTAGCGTTGGTGAAGGAGAACGCCAGGTAGCTGCGCGTCTTCTGGTATGCCTAAATTTTGTACTTGCGAGAAACAGACGGTGGTTTTCGCATAACGTAAGAAGTATATCACCGTTGTCAGAACGGCTTTCCTCAAGCGCATGACTGCCACCAAGATGACGTTCACACGGAAGCAGGCGACCTACTCGTGCATTGAGATCTCCAGCAAGGTCGATGACATCTGACTTTTCGGTCTTGTTTAAAAGATTATGGAGACCACGATAAAAGTCATCCTTAACCGATGCACAGCTGCAGTCGGTTGGAGCATAGGCAGAAACAATAAACAAATTGCGCCTCTCTTCACGATTTCTGTTGATTCTATATGAGCTTTAAAGCCGAATCGCACAGCCAGCTATTGACTGGAAGCCATTCGATTAATGCAGCCTCCGCTTTGTCACTCAATGCGATACCGACACCAGCCAAGCCGGTTGTTACTGCCTCCATTTCACTAGACAGACGTACGTAATATGCGGTCTCAAGAGCAGCTGGGGGCGATAATTTAACCACGGTGCTGGGATCATGTAGTCGAGTAGCTGAAAAGCAACAATCATCGATAGCCAGGGACTCTAGAGTGCGCGTCAGGCCAGCCTGTTGTGCAATCTGTAGGAGGGTCCGAACATTGAACGCTGCCAGACGGAATGAATCACGGGGTCGAAGGATAGCTGATGGCCGGATGATTTGGATACCAGCGAGACGGGCATTGGAAGTATGTTCACCAGGTTGTAGATTCTCGACAAGAGAAAATTTGGTGTGTGATGGAGTAGCAGCGAAAGTAGCAGCAGAAGTAAGCGACGTAGTAGTAAGTGCGAAATCCATGGTCTTCACAGAGGGCACGATACTACCCGGTTTCACAAGCCGAAGTAGGGAGTTATCTTAGGGGACTCCACCCTGAGCCTTTGGCTCAATAGCCCACCGGCATGGCAGCGGAGCAAAGTCAGGGATTCGCACCCATTGGAAGCCGATGACTGATTGCTCAGTTCATACGCCTTTGGTTTGGTGAGTAGCCAAAGAGGGGCGCATTCTTCCCCACGAGTTCAGCAGCAAGGTGCTAGGATACAATACTTCACCGAAATGAAACAAGGGGGCAGTGAATTTATTTAGTGGCAAGTCACATCCGCTACGTCGCGGTGTTGTTAAAAGGACACATGTGGCTTTTTATAAGGAGAACGATTGCCAGACGAAAACCCACCACGTCCTGGAACACTGCCGCTGAACCTTTCGCTGGACCGAAATAACCCCGGACCACCCAGTTGGCACCACGAAGAGGTTGTTCGGCAGGCCAGCCAAGGAACATGTGGAAAAATTCGAACAGTGCATGTGCTGGTACGGAGGTGAGTGACTGACAAGAGAACTGCCTCTGCATCATTACCTGACTGAAGTGTTACCTGGAGTAACCGCGGTTCACCGTAGTGTACGGAGGTTGGGTGACGGACGAGGCGCATCATATTGACTAGTTTAGCTTGAACACCTATTAGTTGACACAGGGAGTCACACTGCTTTTTGTCGTCAAATATCTTATCTCTTATGGAGTTCGCCCCGGATTCAGTCACATTAGAGTACATAACAGTCAGATAATTATGGTATTGTTTCATGTCCTCCTTTCTGGAGGGACCAGTGGCTGCTTTCTTCGGTTGTACAAAGGATGGGGCCTTGAGCCCCGTGGTGCTATTGGTAGTATTAACTCGTTCGGCAGCGGTCGGGGTTACGATGGGAGGTGCCTCCGTCATATCGGTAGCAACAGCGGACACGTAGGTTGTCGGCCCTATAACAGTGTTCAGTGTGGCGGGTGGTTCTGGTGAAGAATGTGTGGCGAACTCATCTTTATGAGCAAACGCTAGTGTTGGGATGACTACCTCTGGATCGTTACTTTTCCACTGTTCTGAGTTGGAGCTTGATGTCGAGCATCGAGTACGAGGCACTGTTTTGTCTGGTTCATGTGGGACAGCTTTCACGGCTGCTGCTTGCTTTACAATATTTGTCAGTTTATCGCATTTCTGCGCCAACACAGTTATAATTTGGACTAGTGGTAGAGGCGTACACTCAGTGCCGAACCAGAGGGAATCGGTCGTACTATTAAGCATTTTTATCTGGCTAAGACTAAAGCGCGCACAGCGAGAATGGAAGTATTTTCGGCAGTTCCTGCATCCTATTCCAAAGCGCACAAGATTTACTCAGCTGTCTGCACCACAACTAACGTTCCTTTCGGAAGCTTTAGGCTTAGCTTTCCGTGGGCAAGCAGTAGGTGCCATTATGACTGTCAGATCGGCGGAAGTCGTTCGTTGCAACGTCTACACTGGTATGCTGAGTACAAAAGCTATCGGTCAAGCTGGTGGTCTGGCAGACACTGGTTAGATTGCTGCAGAACAAATACAAGATGGCAGACAGACGGCAGTTGGGCCAAACAGTGAGATCTCCGACAGCAGCAGGAGCATATGCACCAAATCCCCAGATAGAAAAATACACCAAAAGCGAGTTGTTGGTGCACAATTCACACAGAGAAAACACGTATAACATAGTATTCCCAAGGCAAAAGTAGACTCTAGCACGGTGTTGGGTGGAGGCTCGGATACTAGTCTGTAATCAGTGACACCTAAGAGACATGTCAAATACCGGACAGTATGGAAATTGGATGCGACTGAACCCAACGCGTATTGTGCAGGCTACAAAATTAGGAAGCGGATCAACCAGAGCGAGAAACGGTGCAGCAAGGTACTCACCAAAATAATTTGTGTCAACGGAAGTGCCGTCAGTAAAACAAGTGAACCTTTTGATGGTTAAAACAACCGTAAAATCCAATGTTGCAAAATACTGGAAGAGCGTGTTTTACGACACACTACAATGGTAAAGCAAACATCCGCGGCGTCCGTGGGCACAACCACGTACTGGCATTGTGAACCAAATTGCATAGAAGTGAGCAGTCTAAGCGCTGTCGAATCAGCCTCCATCGTTGAATGCAGTCTGGCCTGACGCACGTTTGGCACCATTTTCTCGGGCACCAATTTAGTCCAGAAATCAGTGATAACGGTGATTACGTATATTAACATAAACAGCATGAAACGGTGATTTTTCTGTCAATAAAGGAGATGCTCGACGTGCGTGCCGGCGTTCAGTTTGCTGTGCGGAAATCGCTTGAGGCAATAGGCTATAACATTTTGCAAAGTTTCCGAGTTGATGGCGCGATATTCGTTGATAATACTGCCTTTCAGTTGTTCTAGTAAAGTAGGCGTTGTCTTGTAAACTCTTCTTTTCAAATAACTCCATGGGAAGAAATGTAAGGGGTTCAAATCTGATGACCGAACAGGCCAATGCTTGGGAGCTCCGCAACCGATCCACCGGTGACCGAACATGTTAAGATAATCCCGCACTGTTTGTGCATAATGGGCTGGTGCGCCATAATGATGCCATAAGGGCTGAAGCGATGTGCCGAAGTCGCCAGTGAGAATCGGTGGTGAAAACATCTACAAATTGTAGCTCCTGTTACTTGCCAGCAACAGTTCCCTTACCATGTGAGAACCATGGTTGGCAGAGAAATAGCGATAATCATAATTGAGTTACTTGGCAAACAGGAGGTTAACGTCATATCTGCAACGGAAGTACTTGACCCTGGCATGCAAGAAGCGTCTAACGCAGCCTACTGAGCTTCAACGCTTTCGTTCACCACCGTCAACTTGTAGGACTAGTAAATACTAGTCCGATACGATGCGCGAAATTAAGCGCGGATATCAGAAGAAAATTGGAGTCGGACACAGCGGACTGTATTCGATGGGCTACAAGAAGACGCGGACGGATGAAGCGAGACAAGAGCAACACGTTAGCGTGGGAACTTGCAAGAGGGCCAAGTGTCGAGCCGGATGCAGGTCAACATGGACGTAATGTAAGGGAGATTAAAACAAGGAAGAATAGTGTACAATTGGTCATCAGCGAAATGCGACACAAAAGATAATATTTATCTTTCAGGGCGCTACAGAGCTCCCCCTAGAAGGCTGAACAAAAGAAGCCTTCAGTGTCGAAAATGACCCGTGGAGCGAAGTTGGTTGGGCAAAATCGGGCCGAGTGAGTGGGCGTTCGGATCAAATGACAGTTTCTTCGGAAAGCGGATTTCGCTGTGCCGTTTGTGAATTGTTATTGATTGATTGCGGGGCAGGGTGCGTTTCGGCGAGCCGTTGGAGCGGGCTTGTCGGACTACAAAAAACTGGATAGCCAAGAAAAAGGCCGACAGGGCCTCAACCTCCGCTGCTGCCAAACGGTGCGCTTGGGAGTGCCCTCTCCTTCCGCGGCACCCCGTCTCAAGCCAAAACGACCGCGTCCCACGAATAGGCGAACCTCGTCCCGCGGAGGAAACGACCAGCGTTTGCATCAGGATCCTCGTTGACAGTAACAATCCTCGAAAACTGTGCTCGTATGGGCCAGTCGATGAAAGGGGAGGGTTGGGGCATGTAGAGACGAGAAAATAGAAAAACACGTGCAGAAACGCCAGAAAGAGCGAACGAATGATCTGGTGTTTAAATTTTTGGGTTTTTGAATATTATTTTGGAAAAGGATTTTTCGGAAGTTGTTGATTTTTTGTTTTTAAAAGTTTAACGGACCAAAATCTGGACAAATATATACAATATCTACTAACCTAACCGTGTTTACGCTGTACATATTCGGAAAAACGAACGGGCTTACGCGCCTCCCGACCACGGCGATTGGTTGTGGGAGGCGGTGGTCTAGATTCGGGAGATGTTGGGACGGATGATGCTTGTAGACCGAGATCCTGATGTTGTTAAACTGCACTAGGATGCTGAAAGTTGGTGCATTGAGTTGTGACGTCGCAGGAAGCACTACTAGGCGAAGTAGGCAAGGTGGTTTCGTCCATAAAGGCAGGCTTCAGACGGTCGATGGTGACGACTTCGCGTCGGCCACCGCAGTCAATAGTGTATGTCTTACTTGCACGGTGTAGCACTTTGAGTGGCCCTATGTACGGCGACTGAAGAGGCTGCCGAACACAGGCTGTGCGAAGAAGGACGTGTGTACACGCAGACAACTTCTCGGGAACGTACACTAGTGTCTTTGCGATCAAGGAGCTGGTGGACGTAGCTCACGCATCTGGTGAGCCAATCAATCGGTGTAACTTCCGTAGTCAAAAGAAGAAGTAGACGGGGCTGGTACTACCAGCTATCCGGGCAACCGCAGTGTGCAACCGTAGACTAGGTGCGCTGGTGTTGTATCGAAATCGCTTTTAACCGTGTTTCTTAAGCCTAGGAGGACGAGGGGAAGTGTTTCAGTCCATGAAGGATCTGCGTGCGTCCGTAGCACTGCCTTCCACTGGCAGTGAAAACGCTCCACCATGCCGTTAGCGACCGGATGATACGCCGTCCTCTGAACGTGGCGACAGCCTATATCCTTAAGTGACGTGGCAAATGTTGACGAGAAATGTGACCTTTGATCGGTGGTCACGATGACGGGACAGCCGTATTGAGCCACTCAGCGCTCCAGAATAGTTTTCGCTACCGTTTCCGAAGAGCAGTTAGGTATGGGAATAGGTTCGTGCCATCTGGTGAATCGACCGACACAGGTCAGTAGATATATAGAGTCTTTCGAAGGCGGCAGAGTACATACGAGGTTGACGTGCACGTGGTGAAAACGTGCATCAGGCGTGGGAAAAGTGCCTAATGGGCTTCTCCTGTGCTTATACACTTTCGCGCGTTGAGAAGGGGGGCAAGTAGCTGTCCAAGTACGAACGTCACGAGTGACATTGCGCCAGACAAACCGTGTAGTTACGAGTTTAACCGATACACGAACGTCTGGATGAGACAAGTCATGCAACATGTCGAACAAGGTCTGTCGAAACTATCATGGTGCGACTGGGTACGGTGTGCCCAGAGATAAATCTCAAAGTATAGTTCCGTCTGATGATGTCAGCGGAACGGGTAGTATGTCCAGTGAGAGAGACCTGCGTATTTTATCAACCTCAGCATCATTGAGTTGCGCAGCGGCAATGGCTGTCAAGTAGAAAGCGGTGCCGGCGTCCGCAGAGATCGCTTGAATTTGGGAAAGTGCGCCGGCGACAGTGTTGTACACACCTGAGATATGTCGTATATCGGTCGTAAACTGAGCGATATAGTTTAGGAGGCGCGAATCTCTTGGAGAGTATCAGTCGGCCGTCGAGCTAAGTACATAAGTCAGCATTTGTGGTTGGTGAGGACAACCAAGGACCGGCCTTCTAAGACATGTAAATGACATATGGATAAATAAATGGCTACTAGTTTTCTACCGAAAGTACTGTAACGTGATTCGGCAGGTTGCAAACCATTAGAGAAATATGACACCAGCTGCTAAGCGTCACCTACATTTTGTTGTAAGACCGCCCCAACTGCCACGTCAGAAGCGTCAGTACTGAGCGACAGTGGGGCTACTGGGTCGTGATGCGCCATAGAAGCTATGTTGTCGATAGCTTATTTCAAAGCCAGGAAGGCGGCGCGTGCTGCAGCAGGAAAATCGAACTTCTTAAGCTTCCCCGGAGAAGGTCCGTGAGGAGTTGCATAAGCGAAGCGCAACTAGGTATGAAACGGCGATAAAGTTTGACAAGGCCATCAAAGTGTCTTATCTGTTTGAAAGAGTGAGGCTCCGGGGGGTGGTCAATGATGGCCTTAATTTTATCCTGTAGTGGCACCAAGCCTGCATGAGAGATATGATGTCCGAGAAAACTGATCGAATCTATATCAAACGAACACTTTTCTGCGTTGATTGTCACCCTGTGTTGAGATGAACGATTAAAAGCGTTCGAACTTGGTGTAAGTGCTCCTCGCGTAAGCAGCTCGCGATTAAGATGTCGTCGAGGTAGGCGTAAGCGTAGTCGAGTACGCGGTAGATGAAGCGCTGAAAACTTTGCGCGACGTTCTTTAGACGGCATGACATGCGCAGAAATTCAAACAAACCGAATGGAGTTGTCACGGCAGTTTTAGCGATGTCCACTTCGGCTACCGGAAGTTGGTTGTAAGCGTGCACCAAGTCGATTTTACTGAAAAGGTTTTTAGCTGCCAGACTAGTGGTGAGATCCACGATATATAGGATAACGTAGCGATCAGGCATGGGTACGTTGTTTAGAGATCGATAATCGCCAGAAGGACCGCAGTCCCCCATAGTCTTTTCCGGAACCATGTGGAGATGTGACGCACATGGGCTGTTGGATTGTCTTATAATACCGAGCTGAAGCATGTGATCGAGTGCACCTCTTGCGGCACGTAATTTGTCGGAGACGAGTCGCCTTGGTCGGGCACACGTTGGCGTACCGTGCGTGACAATGTGATGAGCGACCTCTGTCCTGACTGAACTATGAACAATGATTAATCACGGGATAAAAGCAAGTGCTTGACACGTCCCGTAGGATGGTAACGGTGAATATGATGCAATTAAAATATGTCTGGGTCATCTATCGAACGTCTGCCGAGATGAATACTTTGATAATTAACATCGGTGTAAAATGAAAAAAATTATCGCGCGTAACCGTTCAGAAAGACACTGGGGTACAGTGATAGTTGAGGTAAGGAGTGAGAAAAGTAAAATATGGTCGCTCACTTAGGTCCATTTGATACATAAATCCTGTTGAAAACGTGTTTGGCGTAATCCACAATAGAGGAGCTTAAGTAACAAAATGCTGGGAGCTAAGGGCAACATCTAATGGTTTTTTGAAAAGATCCAAGGTAGGAGAGGATACAACTGAGTCCAGGAGTGCGTACCAGGGCAAGCAAAACCCGAAGGGAAAAGTAATTCCGTCGACACTCTAGACGGATATATTGTTCCTTCAACTTTAAGTAGTTACCCCTGAGCTGCGTGTTGTGGCTAAGTTTCAGAAAGTGGCGGCATACGTGGTTGGGGTCACTCAGTATCTGATACGCTAACATGAGATCGCCGCGCAGCCTTCGATAACGTCCGCTGAAAATTCCCAGCAACTTCAGCCTTCGGTGGTAAGAGTGATAGCTCAGGCCCTTTACATTCTTTGTTGCTCTTCGTTGTGGTGCCTCTATTGCTTCTAGGTCGCGCATCAACCAAGGTTGCCGAGCTTGGATAGCGTATTCAAAATGCGGGCGCACGTAGGAATTGTGCATCATTGGAAAGATTGATGGGTCAAATCTCCCGAATGCTCTTCGCAACATGCCGACATGCTGGTTGCCTCTTTTCGCAGCTACCTCAGCCTGTTTTGAACAGTTGAGGTCGCTCTGTACGATCACCCCAAGATCACGTTCCCGGGAGCTATTCTGCAGTCCATTGGTCCCAAGTGAATAGGTGTAGTTATGACTATGGCGTAATTGTACGACGCGACATTTGTCTACGTTGAATGGTAGGGCGTTTTGAAGTGACCAGTTCGACACTGTGTTAAGACCGCACTGGAGCCGTTCATGGTCGTCCGGTCCTCTGATCCTTCGCCATATCTTGATATCATCAGCGGAAAATAGGAAATCGGAAGTAATTGATCTCGCCAAATCGTTAATGCACATCAAGAATAGACGAGGTCCAAGAACCGAGCCTTGTGGTACTCCACACGTCACATCGATCGCATGAGAAAATGATTCTCGGACTCTCACCACTAGCCGTCGCTCTTGTAGAAAATTGCTAATCCAACTCAGAATTGGATCGCCAATGCCGTAGTGCCGAAGCTTCTGAAGGAGAATTCGATGGTCTAAACGATCAAACGCCTTTGAAAAGTCCAGGTAGATGACATCGACTCCCACTCCATCATCGACAGCTTCAGTCCAGCTATTACGTGCAATTAATAGGTTATTATTACACGAATGCTTTTGATGAAAGCCATGTTGCTCTGGGGCTATTAAATTGCGGCTTTCCAGGTATTGCATCAGCGCGTCTGTGATGATTGATTCCATCAATTTGGATAGTACGGGAAGTAGTGTTATTGGACGGTAGTTGGCAGGATCAGTGCGGCTACCTCCTTTATGGATAGGAGTGATGAGTCCTTGCTTCCATACTGGTGGAATACGGTTTTCCTCTAGACATCGCTGATAGAACACAGCTAGTGGTTCTGCTAGATCACTACCTACCGCCTGTAGAGCCTTTGGTCGGATGTTATCAGCTCCGGGAGAACTGTGGATACGCAAGGATAACAATTTATTCAACACAGCTTCCGCAATGAAGGTGATGTTTTCTAAACCAGATGATGGAGTATTAGAAATGCGGAAAATGTTTGGGCTCGTTACCTGCTGGCAAGTTAGGGAGTAATGAAGCCGTAGGAGATCAGCTGCTTCCATTGCTGACCGCGTGCACCCATCAGCCGTGACTAGCGCTGGAACCCCTCCCTTTACCTTTCGAAGGCCTTTAACGTGCCTGTACAGGAGTTTGCGGTTAGTGCAGGATCGCTTTATTAACTTCTGCTGATGCGTGACCTTGTCTTCGC